GCAAAGGCCACGTGTGGGCCACCCCGAGGAAGAGTAGGACCCAAAGAAGAGCTAGACCATTTTACCCTGGCTGGTGTCTGGTTACCTGCTTTGTGGCCTAAACTCGTCCACTTTTGGCCAAAAGAAAACGACGATGATTAGTGAAGAATGCCAAGAAATTGGTGGGGGAGCGTGACAACATTAAACAGTAGAAGAAAGATGTAGACAAAAATGGAAAATTTTGGAACTACCCCAATATATTTTACACTATTTATGATTTGGTGTAATTTTATTCGTCCCATTCTTATTTAATCCTTCCCCTTCTGCATCGTGAACTAGAGTTTCTGCATTATTTGTAGGTACAATGTCTGCATCTCACTAACCTTCTCCAATGGAACAAAATCTGTCTCCCTTATATGTAGACTTGTAAATTTACATGCTTATCCCTTGATAGTTTGGGATTTTCTTTTTCAAAAACCTTTTTTTTTTTCCTTTACTATCTACCCAGCAATTTTACACAATTGTTTGTTGCATGGGAAAAGTTTCCTCATATAAACATGTATTTGATTTTGTTCATTTCTTTTATTCGAGATGTGGAGGTTCAAAATGGACTTGCTTATAGTAAATACGAGATAATTGCTATATGACTAAAAATTATGAGTCCCTACAATTTCACTTATGCTTTGACAAACACATAACACAACTAACTATGAATTGCTTGTATTTATTACGTAAGTTTGAGTAGCATTTCTACGTACTAATATTAGAGTTCAGACGTTTAAATTCACAATTTGTTTTATGTTTAAAAAAAAAACTAACTTTATATGTTATTTGCGAGTTCACGAGAAGTGTGAGAAGTTAATTTTGAACATATCACTTCTGGTTTATTTATCATTTTGTAGGGATTTTGCTATTACTAAATACAAAAATGCTAGTTATAAGAAATTTAAAAAAAAAGGTGGAAGTAAGGGTCATTTTGCAAATCCCATAACCCAAGAATTGAGAAGTTTGAAAATTCCCTCCTTTAACTTTGAAAAATTGTAAACATGTGTCTTTGACTGTTGTGTGGGGAGAGAGAGAGAGAGCACATATTCCCAAAAGCTTGGACATTAGGCAGCACAGAAAGGTCAATTGGAGACTGGAGTTTCCATTTTCTACCGCTGGTTCTTCAAGTGATGCAAACTGTTGCTCTGCCTCTGGCCCTCCGATGAAATCTCCACCGAATCTTGGGCGCCAGATTGATCAGATGGTTTGGTAAGCCACTGTAATAGATACGATTTTTGCCTGATTTATAGTCTTACCCTTTTGGACATGACCAATGGCTAAGCATAATAACGAATATACGGACTGATCTCCACCGTGTACGGCACCTAACCCCAACAAAATCTTCCTTTCTGGACTGATTTCTTAACCCCTACCTAAACCTTTTTTTTCTGTGGTCAAATTTAGCAATAAATTTGGACGTTAAACTATAATTAATTAAAACCAACTTTCAACTTTGCCGTTGGTAATTGCACTTCAATCCCAAATTTGTTGGGTTGTTAATTGGTTTTCCTAAAACATGCCCTTTATTATATTTTTAATGGAAGTTTGAAAAATAAGGACATATATATACATTGGGGACACCATATCTCATATCCGGGAGAAAAACTTACTTATTCCTTGTTTCATATATTTTTCTCCACATCTATCATCTTATGATGTGCAATGGGAGAGATGAGAAAAAAAGGCTATAAAACATGTTTCATGAAAGTTTTACTCAACTCGAAAGTAGTATATGAGAAAACCATATAATTCGATAAGATAGATGTGCGTAAAACGTTCATTTTTAAAATTTAAAAAAAAAGAGTGTCGAAGTAAAAATATTAACAAATAAAGTGAATGTGATCCCGAGTTCTCTCTAGCTACGAGAGAGAGGGAAGCCAATTCCGTGACGCTTGGTGGGGAACAGGACAAACAACAAGCTGCACACAACAGCAATTCCGACAGGGAACGCCGCTAAAAGCTGCTTGCCCTCCTCCGACGGCTTGGGGTAGAAACATTTTACAACATTCTGATCAACCAAAGCCAGTGCAGCAAATACAAATATGGACATCAAGGCATGGAAGAAATCAATGAATCTCAGCCTGTACTTGGCCACCTCCTCCGGTGCAATGGCGACTTTCGACCCGTCGATGACCCACAACCCTTTAAAAGACGCCAACCCGTATCGAACCTTGCCCCGTTCGTCCCTCAAGCTGTCGGTGAAGCACAAGAGGAAGCAGGTAAGGCTGCAGACTATTAGTAGCCCTAGCGTCATGGTTTTGTTGATGGGGGTAGGGCACTGCCCTTGGCGTGTGAAACCCGGGGAGAACATTTGGAAAACGAGGACCGTTCCGGTGGGAAGAAGATTGGACAGATGGGCTGTGCCTTTAAAGGTCTTTCTAATGGCCTTTTGTGCTGGGGTTTTTGGCGGTTTTGGCTCAATTGATGCTGCATTATTTTCCAACAGTGGTTGCTCATATGTTTCTTGAAGTGCAGGTGCAGCCGCTTTATTTTCCCACAGTGGTGGCTCATATGTGTTTTTAAGTGTGGGGGCGGCCATGTGTATATATATATATATATATATATATATATATATATATATGAGTTCTATTTCTGTATGAGATTGGCTCAAGATTGATTCTTCATTAGCTAGGGTTTGTGTGTTCTTCTTAAACTTTGATTCACCGTGTGCTTTGTGATTATGGAATATTGGAATATATATGGTTAAGGAAAGTGAAATGGAGAATATAACAAAAAGATAATTATGCTAGCAATGGGATTTGTTTTTCTGTTTGGTGTTAGCGAGCAAATGGTTAATTTTTAGGGATGGATGGATGGAGTGTTGATCAACTGCTTTTTTTTCATAACTCTGGCCTTCTAGTAACTGTTGTACAAATTAATTTACGTTAGGGAGTTTCATTTGATTGGTTGTTGTGGGAAGGAAGGGTTAGGGTTAGGGTTTGCTGAGATTGAATGGACGGGATCGAGTATGAATAACGTTCGCATTACTAAATGAACATGGAAAACAAATTTAATTTATACCAGCCTAATGCTTCATGGTGCTTATTTTGATAATTAAGTAAAATATGTATCCATTCTACATAAATAAATAATAAAAAACACACACACACACACATTTGAATTAACAATAATGTCTTACCACATTTTGTGCGATAGTTCTTTTTGAGAAAAAAAACGATAGTAATTATTGATGAAACATATCAAAGTATAAAGCAATAAAATAGCCAAAATGGGTATGACATCTCTATAGTGACCAAAACACAACTACATGTTGATTTTACATGGAGAGAATTAAGCCTAAATCAACAAATACTCAACTCCTGATTCAACATCTAGAAGGACTTGTACTCAGACTAACAATACATCTCCACTGTGCAACGACAGAAATGACAGATCTGTATTGCAGCTGAAAACTATTATACAAAACACAGCCAACTCCTAAAGAGTTCATAAAAATTAAAATAAAAGGTGCAGTAAACTCCTAAAGAATAATAGACTTAAAATAAGAAACATGAACAAGCAACATGTCATTGTTCTATTTGGCTGAGATGGCGAGATCTCATAACCTATAGATATGTTATGTTGTTCCATGCTATCAATTAATAGCTGAAAACGTATTTTTTTAAATAATAAAAAAAAGCAATAATAAGGGAAGATGTTTCTTACACACGCACACTATAAAATGTCAGGGAAATTTGTATATGAAACCCCCAATCTACAAGTCAATGTCTTTTCTACTAGTTAGATCCGGTTTGCAATTATACCTTGTGATTTGTATGCCATGAGTGAACCCTTAAATTATTATAGAGGGGCAATGGCTTTGTTTTTTTAATTGAAGAAAAACAAAGATTGATATGGGTCTAGAAAAAAGGAAAAAATAAATAATTTTAACATAAAATAATGAGATGAAGTGAGTTGGGCTTATCCTCATTATGGGAATGTCGTTTTCTCTCATGGACTGCAAATTGACGGTCGGCTTTTCTTTGCAAAACCAAGCTTCCGACCGCCACGGTCGCTGCCTCCATCCATAAACCGTCAGGCAAGACGACCACAAACTCAAGCCTCAAGCGTTAGAACCTGACTGAGAAAATCCAAGCAGAGGCTCCAGATCCGAAGCGTTAACCCAGACACACCCCGAACCACACCCTGATCACGCTAATCTTGTGCGAGCTTCCTCTTTTCAGACTTGCAGTGTTAAATTAAAAATAAAATAAAAAGAGATTCAAAAAACGTGAATTTTCGTAACTGCCTGTCTCATTCTACCAATTAAACTGTATTAGTCTAATCCAGGCCATTAATCTCAGCCCTCCATCACCGTCAATCCCCATCGCACCTCGGAGAGACCGACGTGGTCGACGTCTTCACCTCCAGATTTCTAGTCGTTGACCGTTCAACCTTATCACTAGTATCATTCGTAACCTACTTAAATATTTTATTATTTTCTTTAAATGAATAATAAGTGTTGTATTTTGCATACAAATTCATTTTTTATGGTGAGTTCTTATGTTACATTGTTATAATAAAAATCTTGGTTAGGGGCAATGAGCGTACCTCCGCTCCTTGCATCTGAGTTTGAATTCGGAGTTCCGTTGTCATAAATTAGATTAATTAGATCTGAGTTCGAACCTCCGTTGTTATAAATTAGATTAATTAGATTAAAAAAAAGTAAAACTCACATATTTATTTCTAAAAATTATTTTGTCTCTAAAAGTTAGAAAAAGAAAAGAGAAAGTTGAGATGAATTATGTTTTACTACACAAGAAAACATTTTTCATAAAATGTTTCATAGACAAGAAGAAAGTAAAAATGTAGTCATCAATTGAGAGCCTTCCCTCATAATTTTTCTACCAAGTTCCCAACACAATCAATTACTTTTCCCTCTTTACTCAAAAACCACTTCACATATATGAACACACCCACCCAATAGTCACCCCACAAACACAAACACAAGCACAAACACACACCCTTCCCTACTCCTCCTCACTCCTCACTCGCATACACACACCCTTCCCTACTCCTCCTCACTCCTCACTCGCATTTCTTTCTAGAAGCAAACAACATCACCGAAAATGCTTCTCTTCCTCCCACTCCTTCTTTCCCTCCTCTTCTCCCCGCTCCCAACCCTTTCTGTCAACCAAGAAGGCCTCTACCTCCAGCACTTCAAAAACTCCCTAGACGACCCAGACTCCACCCTCTCTTCATGGAACGACCACGACGTCACGCCGTGCTCCTGGTTCGGCGTCAAATGCGACGCCACCTCCAACGTCGTTCATTCCATCGACCTCTCCAGCAAAAACCTCGCCGGCCCTTTCCCCACCGTGCTCTGCCGCCTCCCCAACCTCACCTTCCTCTCTCTCTACAACAACTCCATCAACTCCACCCTCCCCCCCTCCCTCTCCACGTGTCAGCATCTCGAGCACCTCGACCTCGCTCAGAACCTCCTCACCGGTGCGCTCCCCAGCACCCTACCAGACCTCCCCAACCTCAAGTACCTCGACCTCACCGGCAACAATTTCTCCGGAGAAATTCCTGACACTTTCGGCCGCTTCCAAAAACTCGAGGTCCTCTCTCTGGTCTATAATCTCTTCGACAGCACCATCCCGCCGTTCCTCGGCAACATTTCCACCCTCAAAATGCTCAACCTCTCTTACAACCCGTTTCATCCGGGTCCGATCCCGCAGGAGCTCGGCAACTTGACGAACCTCGAGGTCCTCTGGCTCACCGAGTGTAACTTACGCGGCGAGATTCCCGACTCGCTGGGTCGACTCAAGAAGCTCACCGATTTGGACCTGGCCATCAACGACTTGAACGGCACGATTCCGGCTTCGCTCAGTGAGCTGACCAGCGTTGTTCAGATTGAGCTCTACAACAACTCGTTGACCGGAGAGTTGCCTCCCGGAATGTCGAACTTGACCCGGCTGAGGCTGCTCGACGCGTCCATGAACCAGCTGAGTGGGCAGATTCCGGACGAGTTGTGTCGGTTGCAGCTCGAAAGTCTCAACCTTTACGAGAACAATTTCGACGGGAGCTTGCCCGAGAGCATTGCGAACTCGCCCAATTTGTACGAGCTTAGACTCTTCCGAAACAAACTCACCGGCGAGTTGCCCCAAAATCTCGGGAAAAACTCGCCGCTGAAATGGCTTGACGTTTCGAGTAACCAGTTCTCGGGTAGCATCCCGCCGACTCTTTGCGAGAAGGGACAAACAGAAGAGATTCTGATGATACACAATTTTTTTTCCGGCCAGATTCCGGCAAGTTTGGGTGAGTGTCACAGCTTGACCCGGGTCCGATTGGGTCACAACCGGTTAAATGGGGAAGTTCCTGTGGGTTTTTGGGGGCTGCCTCACGTGTATTTGATGGAGCTCGTTGAGAATGAGCTTTCTGGGCCGATAGCGAAGACCATTGCCGGAGCGGCGAACCTCTCGCTTTTAATTATAGCGAAGAACAAGTTCACGGGTTCGATACCGGAGGAGATTGGAGGGGTCGAGAGTCTTATGGCGTTTTCTGGTGCCGACAATGGGTTCAGTGGGCCTTTGCCACAGAGCATAGTGAGACTTGGGCAGCTTGGAACACTGGACCTTCACAATAACGAACTGTCTGGTGAGCTCCCAAATGGGATCCAATCTTGGACGAAGCTCAACGAGCTCAATTTGGCAAATAACCAGCTTTCTGGGAAAATCCCAGATGGGATTGGGAACTTAACGGTGCTTAATTACCTTGATCTTTCCCGGAATCGACTTTCCGGGAGAATCCCAGTTGGGTTGCAGAATATGAGACTCAATGTGTTCAATTTGTCCAACAATCGGCTTTCGGGTGAGCTCCCGCCTCTTTTTGCTAAGGAAATTTACAAAAATAGCTTTTTGGGAAACCCTGGTCTTTGTGGAGATTTGGAAGGGTTATGTGATTGCAGAGCCGAGGTGAAAAGCCAGGGGTATATATGGTTGCTGAGGTGCATCTTCATTCTAGCTGGTTTAGTCTTTGTTGTGGGTGTGGTTTGGTTTTACTTGAAGTACAAGAACTTCAAAAAGGCGAACAGAGCTATCGACAAGTCGAAATGGACTTTGATGTCGTTTCACAAACTGGGTTTTAGTGAGTATGAGATATTGGATTGCCTTGATGAAGATAATGTGATTGGCACTGGGGCATCTGGTAAAGTGTACAAGGTTGTTCTAGCCAGTGGAGAGGTTGTTGCGGTGAAGAAGCTATGGAGAGGGAAAGTAAAGGAGTGCGAGAATGACGATGTTGAGAAAGGTTGGGTCCAAGACGATGGCTTTGAGGCAGAGGTTGACACTTTGGGGAGGATTAGGCACAAAAACATTGTGAAGCTTTGGTGTTGTTGCACTGCTAGGGACTGCAAGCTCTTGGTTTACGAGTACATGCCAAATGGTAGTCTTGGTGATTTGCTGCATAGCAGTAAAGGAGGGTTGCTGGATTGGCCTACAAGGTATAAGATAGCTCTTGATGCTGCAGAGGGGCTTTCTTATCTGCACCATGATTGTGCTCCTGCAATTGTTCATAGAGATGTGAAATCAAACAACATCTTGTTGGATGGAGATTTCGGAGCACGAGTGGCAGATTTTGGGGTAGCCAAGGTGGTTGATGCAACTGGGAAAGGACCTAAATCTATGTCGGTCATTGCAGGTTCTTGTGGTTACATTGCTCCAGGTCAGTGAGTAAATTTCTATTCAAACTGCAGATAAAATTCTCTCGAATTTATGTTGTATTCATCTTCTTGTGGAAAGTTTAGATTTTGATGCTGAAATTTGATTGTGTTGTGCTCCATCATTCTTGAAGAGAAATGTGTGGTGCACGATATTTGTTCTAAACTCTTGCCAATATCTCCTATCACCTTCATATTGTCTAGTTAAAAATATTATTCTAGTATTCTAATCTTGTAAATGTAATCTTGCTGCAGAGTATGCTTACACCCTCAGAGTGAATGAGAAGAGTGATATCTACAGTTTCGGTGTGGTTATTCTGGAATTGGTTACTGGAAGACTCCCAGTTGATCCAGAGTTCGGAGAAAAGGACTTGGTGAAGTGGGTCTGCACCACTTTGGACCAGAAAGGAGTGGACCATGTAATTGACCCCAAACTTGACTCTTGTTATAAGGAAGAAGTTTGCAAGGTCCTCAATATTGGCCTCCTCTGCACCAGTCCTCTCCCAATTAATCGTCCATCTATGAGAAGGGTTGTGAAATTGCTGCAAGAAGTGGGCACAGAGAAACATCCCCAGACTGCCAAAAAAGAGGGGAAATTGTCACCCTACTACTATGAAGATACCTCAGATCATGGAAGTGTAGCTTGAGAAGTTTCATATATGGCCTGTTGCAAAGCATTGGTTATGGGGGAAGTTTTATATCTAAGCTTTATTTTATCAGTTTTTGAAGCTTTTTTGAAAGCTAACTTCCCAAATCGTTTTCACCCCCCCGTGGGTTTTGATCTCATAGCAAGCAAGGAGGGAAGAGAATATTGAGAGGAATTTCTTTTCGAGAAAGAGGAAAGTTATGAGGTTCTATACTGTAAAAATTGATTAACCACTAAAGTTTTTCATCTGCTAAGTTTAAGTAGCTACCTGCAAGCTGCAATGGCAGACCTCCTTGAAAGTGATGTATACACTGTTTAGTGATTGTGATTTGTCTCTGAAATCTCACTCAGGTGATATATGAAATGGGAATTCTGGCATTTATGAGCAACCCTTGTAGCTAGTAATATACTTTAATGAATTGTGATTTGTGACAATGTTTTGCGATTGTACACCTGGTTTGGTTTGCTGTGTGAGCCTAAGACAATGTTGCAGGTTTAAATATTTTTTACTATTCTCTGCAGTGACTTTTTTTAATTTAAAAAACCTCCTTTATGATTAGATTACTTTGATTCATTCATATAAGCAGAAGACAGCTATAAGCCTGTCTATTAGTATTAATAAGGTAGTTAGGTAAGAGTTGGCTCTCCTTCCTGGGTCCAATTCCAACTAAGTGAAAAGTGACCCTTGACTGTGCTGCCTCCCATTTTGCTGTACTTGACTCTAACAGGAAAATGACTTAGGAGGAGGAACATAACAGAGAGAGAGAGAGAGAGAGAGAGAGAGAGAGAGCTATTCAAAGTTGTGATTTTGTCTGGTAGATGGTGGTGGTTTTGATTGCCCAGCAGAGGAAGATTTAGTTAAAGCTTAAAAAATGGCTCAATCAGAAGGTCTGGTGTGTAACCATAATCTATGCAAGGGTGGCCAAAGAGGAAAATTTACAGAGGTCTGCTCCTACGGTGAGCTATTATAAGTAGTATATGCCCGCATCGGCCTGGCCAGTCTATTTAATATGGCCCACGAATATTTGACATTGCAAGCAAACCCTATATCTATATCTATATACTTGAGTAGCTTTTAAGGGTACACTGCCCAAACTGTGTGTTCCCAGCAAATGCGTAGTAAATTGTGAGCTGTTCATCTTGTGAAGAAATTCCAAATCTGTGTTCCACTTTCAACCTTACATCAATGCGACACTGCCAAGAGGGCCAAGAGAGCAGATGTAGGTCTGTGCAGTTATTAGAGTATATAACTGATCAACATCCCTTCCTAACTTTATTCATCACATTTAGTTACTGCATCAATGCACACCCCCACCTCCTCTGAGTAAATTTTGCTCTTTTTTTCTACTAGCTTGTTGCTTAGGCAATCCAACTTTAAACCTATTATATTACTATCTATTATTAGTCTAGCGACATTTCTCTTTCTCAAGTTCGATTCCGTCCTTTCCCAACCCAACTTGAGAAAAATGCAGTAGGCATAATAAAGTGACGAGGACATTTACTGAGGTAGGTGTGGTGTGGACCGAGTGGTTGTGGCAGGCTTTGTGAGTGGTCTGGCTCTGAGTTTGGGTTAATTTTAGATATAGGTTAGCATTTACAGGTTAGTTAGTAATTAATTAGTGAGTTGACGAGCTAGTACTTGTTTCAACAATTTATGAACGATCAATTTCAATGTGCAGTTGTGCATGTTGTGCATGGTTTTACCTGTTACTTTATTATTTAGTTTTAATGGTTGCTTGCTTAGTCAAATTTTAACAAATTCCGACACCAAACATCTACTTACCAGTTCCAACATAAACCCTCATAAAGAAAATTACAAATTTCCGAAAAACAAAAAAAATATTTATAAATCCGCAATGATTAGTCAATATTTATAAATCCGTAATGATTATTTTTTTACTCTCTTAAAATGGGCCTGATAGAGCCCATAAAATATATCATATTTACTGGACCATTGGGCCTTCTCAAAATGAGAGTTGATAAGAACATTTGCCTAGCAAAGAATTTCTTAAATAAATAAAATAAAATAAAAAATATTAAGACCTCCACCATGTAAATAATTTTGTTTTGATTGTTTTATGGTGCATTATATTTCTGCTGTCCTATCAAGATATCTAATTATTCAGTCTTGAATTAACTCTTGGTTAGGTTCTCCTATTTTAGGAAGGGGTTCACGAATTGTTTGGTAAAATCAAGAAAACAAGGGGATAAAATAAAAACGAAAGAAGGAAAAGCTTCTTGACAAGACTGATTTATCCAAGCATTATTCTCAGTTGAAAAATTATTAAAATGGCGTTATGGATCAAAATCAACGATCTCTTTCAATATGAACACATACTCACTACAACTATTGACAAATGACTATTTAAATGGTGTGTATTAGACCGTAGAAGTGGTTCTACACTACTTAATGAGATTAAAAGTGTTTTTTGACAACCAAAAGCACTTATGACTTCGTTCGGCCAAAAAATTTAGAAGCGCTTTATGAAGAAACAGTCTCAAACGAGCCTAAATAAGTTATGATGATTCAACAAGTGTGATATTTATATTGAGTACGAGTTTGTACAATTTTGAGGTATTATTTTCATTGTTAAGTTAATTGTAATCGTCACACGTAACTGAATTTACTAAAATTTCATTTAACATAAACAAATCATCATAGGCACAATCTAATCCTGCTCAAGTTCTGATTGAGAATTCCACTTTCAAAAGCTTTACTTCTTGGTAAGCATTTGATACAAATATTCAACTGATTATGGGCTAGCAACCATATAGCCCTTCCTTTCTCACCTGTGCCGCTATCTTTTAACTTCTCACTTGTTTATTTATGCCAAACAAGACAAGAACAAATGAAAAATAATGGATTAGTGGATGACCCAAACCAAATGGATTGGTGAGTCACTTACTGTTTTAGAAATTTGAGATATTTAATTCTCTCAGCTCTTGACATGGCTAAATGTCTCTGTTAGCAGAGATTAAGGAAGCAAGGAAGGAACCACTATCATAAAGAGCTAAGCATGACAAAGCAACAGAATATTTAATTAAATCCCATAATTTATACTTTAGTTTTCCAGAAGTTTTCTTTAATCTATACTTGCAATCAGCTTTGTTTGAAAAATTAGAGGAGGAGGCCAACCATGAACCAACATAACTAAACAAGACCAAGACTTCCAAGTTTCTTACCAATCCACCACAATTTTCAAAGAAGATGCTATCTTTTTCTTTCCCATCTCTTTTCAAAATCTAGTTTATCTAGTTTGTGATCTTTCCAGCTTTCAAAGTCATATATATACATATGTAAGCCTATTTCCACACTCCACCTTTATAAACTAGCCAACCTCTTCCTCTCTCTTCCCTTTTTTCCCACTCAATTTGATCAGATCAGATCAGAGCAGAGCAGAGCAGCCATTTTTAAACATGAACCACAGTGAACATATTGCCTATCTTTTTGTCATAGCCCTCCTTTCCACATCTGTTGTTGTTCTTGGTGTTGTCCTTAGTCTCCTCCTCCTTTGCAAGAAAAAGCCAGTTCAATCCCAAGAAACAGTGACACCAATCAAGCCTAGTGCTCAGGTGTATCCACTAACCAATATAGATGCTGCCACAGATGGTTTCAATCATCGTAGGATCGTCGGCGAGGGCCGGTTGGGAACTGTCTATGCTGCCATATTTGAGAAAGGGGAGATAGCAGCAGTGAAAAGAATCCATTCTAGGCATGTTTTGAGCAATGCTGGTTTTGGATTTTCAAGAATACTTAGATCAATTTCTTCAGCTCAGCACCCTAATGTGGTACCAATAATTGGCTACTCAGAAGGGCCAGGTGAGAGAATCATAGTGATGGAGTTTGTAGGTATGGTGTGCTTAGATTTCTATCTGCATCAAAACCCAGAGGGGGCATCTTTGTTAGATTGGAACCACAGATTGAAAATTGCAGCAGGGGCAGCTAAAGGGCTTGAGTATTTGCATGAAGGAGTGGCACCAAATATAGTACATGGGTGTGTAAAGGCTTCGAACATTTTGATAGATGTAAATTTTTGTGCAAGGATTTGTGATTATGGGCTTTCATTTTTGGCACCCCAAGAGAAGAGAGGTCTAGTTGGGTATGTGGATGATGAGTATTGGAGAGGAAGTGGTGCTTGCAAGGAAAGTGATGTCTATGGATTTGGGATTGTTTTGTTAGAGCTTTTGAGCGGGAGGTTATGTGAGGAGGGGAGGCTTGTGAATTGGGCATTGCCACTGATTAAGGAAATGAGAATTAGTGAGCTTTTGGACCCCGGACTTGTCATTCCTGTTGATATTAGGGCTCTTGTCAGATTGGCAAAAGTTGCTTCTGCTTGTGTTGGAAATTCCAGAAAAAGCAGGCCTTCAATTTGTCAAGTGGCAACTATCTTGAGCAACTTGGAGATGGATTGAGTTGGGATTTTCATACAAGTCAAAAGTGGAAAGCCATGAATTTCCGTTCTAAAAAAGTTGCTGTGATTAGTAAATGATGAGAATTGGGCACCACACCAACCGAGAATTGGGCACCACATTAGAGTTTCAACGTATAGTTTTCACACTTGTGAGTTATAGCTTGCATTGCATGTATGAAGGTGGGGTTTGTGGAAAGAAATGTTTGAAATGAGAGGTGGGAGGGACGGTGGGTTTTGTTTGTCTCGTGGGCTGTGAATTTGATCTTTTTTCCGTGTTGATTGAGATCTGTTGGTGCCGAAAGGGACCCAATTTTTTGTTCTCTCTCTTTCAATCAATTTCTCTGTCAAGTGTTTTATCGCTTGTCATTGCCTCATCATTTGACTAAACATCATGGCTAAATAAATATATATATATATATATATTTCTTTCAATAATCAAGTGGTCACATTTGTATATTCATGGTATGGTGGTTGGGTGTTCTCAACCGTCACGCTGAAAACTTTATGTCCATTCCATAAATTTATTTTATGTAACATATACTTTGTCTTTTGGCAGCATCTGAGGGGTGAAAAACAAAAAATTTCATCTCTAATCCCCTCTTTTTATAGTTGAGGTTTATCCACAAATTATACGGTTAGACAATTAATGTCAACATCCCGCTAGAACTACCGACAAGGAATGATGGGTAGAATGTGACAAAACGCGCGTAAAAAATAAAACAAATTTGAATGTGAGTAAAACGTATCAATTTATTTTTCAAAAATTAAACAAGGGAAAACAATAGTCTTAAACCTTAAGGTATCATCGCGTGAACCTTAAGACATCGCATCTTGAATCTCAAAGTGTCGCGATGTCGATCTCTTAAGATATTGCTTTTATTTTATGGACTTGGTTGTCTTTTGGGCTAGTTGTTTCGTTGAGTTACCCGAAAGAAAAAACTCGTCGACATCTTGGGCCGACGGCCCATGCTACATGTGAAAGATGGACTCAGAGCTGAAGTATTGGGCCTGAGTTGGCTTTGCAAACTCCCTAGCATGGCCAGTGAGCTCGATGTGTCTGGACTAAGAAGCCTTTCCCGAAGCTGCTTGTGGTAATGGCAGCTCAATGGGTTGGAAAAACAATAACAATTCGACAAACAATCCAAAGGAAAAGCCAAAAAAAAGTTCCATTATTTTTATTGTTCGATGATAAATTAATGATTTGTAAGAATATTTCTCACTATCAACATTTATTATTTAATTCCTCCTTAACAACCATATCATCAAGGCTCCTAGAAAATAAGAAGAAGAAGAAGTAAAAAAACTATTAGTCTTAATCCAAGTCAAGTCTCCTTGTCATCTTCAATTGACGAATTGGTAATTTACATTGACAATTGGTGTACCTTTTTCAATGTATTTTCATCATGTAATAGTAAAAAGCAATTGCTTCCCAAAAGTAACCCAGATGGTGCAAAAGTCGTTGATTCTGTGCAATTGTTCTCATTATGAACAGTTTCACTGTATTTTCTTATCCAAAAAAAATACATATATATATTCATAGACTTGACTATGACCTTAATGTCAGTAGCGGACCATAAAGTTTCCCGCACACAAGAAATTTTTGAATCAGTAAATCATTTATACCGTGATGTTATCAATTCATGTGTTATAATATGAGACACGCAATTATTGACATGTAAAAACAGAGTATATTAAAGGTGATGTCTAAACAAAATGACGGACAAGTAGAAGAGGAGACCCCTTTCCACATCGGGAAACAACTTGACAAAGTCCCAAATCCCTAACCCATACGTTACTGATAACAAAAACAAAATATCCCAAAGGGTAAAGCTTCATGCTTAAGCTTTCTGTTGCGTGGCTTCTCTAAGAAGCTCAGATATGTACATGTCGGCTGGTACAAGAAATATACACGCGGGGCAAAGCAATTACCCTCTACAATCATGTCCTTCTCTTCTAGTTGCAACGGCCAGTAAGACAAGTCCATCTGGCAAAGCGTTGACGTGGCATATGGCGATTGGTATGGTTAAGTTGCAGCAGTTGGCAATGGAGACGGATGTAGTGGATTGTTTGCTAAAATCAAATAAATATATATATATGACGGTGAAAATCGTAGACTCGTAGTCGTGCAGCCTAAGCCAAAAGTGACATGTCCGCATACCAAATTCTCTGATTTATTTGTTGTTACATACATTGAAAAGGATCTGCATAATTAATTTTTCAAAATTAACAAGAGTGATTACGAAATGATTTGCAGCGCGCGCTTGACATAATACATCACAATATTTATAACATTGATTAATTACTGCAGAGACAGAAGGCATTTTTATCAAAAGCTCCATCCAACCACCTCTCCATCTGAAGATGTCTTGTTTTCTTTTTCTTAAATATTTGTTTTCTTTCAGAGAGAGAGAGAGAGAGAGAGAGAGGAGAAGGAGACAGTGATTCTTTGCTTGACATAAGAAGTCTACGTGAAGAAAGGGAGAAATGGGGAATATATACAACAGAACAGAGGTTGGTATTTTGTATAAATATAAGTATATGTAGTTTGATTTTGAGTTGGTTCGTATGTAGGTGTCTCTGTGAAATGAAATGTATATATTTATATATCTTTAGGGACACTCTAGGTTGACACTGCAGCTAAAGTCCCAACCCCAACCCCAACCCCAAACCCAAACCCTATCTCTCTCTCTCTCTCTCTCTCTCTCTCTCTCTCTCTAAAGAGGTAAAACGTCTTAGAATCAGGTTGCCCCCTCTCCACTCTAGCCACCCTTCTTTTTTTCTTTTCTTTTCTTTTTTGTGTTTTAACAATTAATAGGTTTGTTATTTACTTGTTTATAATTAACTTCCTTAAGTAATTTTTGTAATTTATAATTTGAACACTTGTTTTAGACAGGCAGAAAGACACAATAAATAAAAATAAAAAAGCGACCAATTAGCTATAAGACTACATGGATTCTATTGTGCAAGCGTATATACAGAAGCAAAACCAAACTTGACGTCCAAGCAACCTTTGCTATTTCTAGAAAATTCATTCCTCTCTCCGTTCTTTATTTTATAGCTTAACTAGCTCTCTAACCTTTGTTCTACTTCTCTCTCTTCTCTCTCCCTCTCCCTATCTCATTTTTTATGGAGGCTGTTCTTCGCAAAGAGATAATAATATCATAGCAGGAGGAGAAAAAAGATCAAATGGGACAAAGATCAAATTCCAATACTATTATTCCGTCTCAAACATCAATATTCAAGAAGAAGATGAGCAAAAAAGTGGTTAAGGAAAACGTGGTTTAAAAGTGACAAGCTTGGTTTGCTTGTCTGCTTTGCTTGCTTTAAGTGTTTTCAGTTTTTGTTTTTGGGTTTGCTTAATTTTGTGAGAGAGAGAGAGAGAGAGAGAGAGAGAGAGAGAGAGAGAGAGAGAGAAAGAGTTGTGTGTATTTGGAAGAGGTGGAGGAAATTACAAGAAAGCTTGGGGTTTGGGATGAGCCTCAGAGCAAAAACGGCAGAGAGATCATGACATGGTGCAATGACTCAGACGACGAGAGGGCCATTCAGATTATCACCCCTCCTCCCCCTCCTCCTCCTTCTCATAACAATAACGAATTTCGGAACATAACATGCCCCTCTTGTGGCCACCACATAGAATTCCAAGACCAGGTATTTAAACTTATAACTTATTTTAGTTCTTTGTTGAACTAAATTTTAATTCATATGATTTTTAATTAATTACATGAATGAATTGTTTGGTATTAAGTTTTGATTTGTTTTTGTTTTTGTTTATGTGATGTTTTAGGCAGGGATTCATGATTTGCCTGGACTACCAGCAGGGGTGAAATTTGATCCAACTGACCAAGAAATTCTTCAACACTTGGAGGCAAAAGTGCTGTCTGATACCAGAAAGCTTCATCCTCTCATTGATGAATTCATACCAACCCTTGAGGGGGAGAATGGGATTTGCTATACTCACCCAGAAAAGCTACCAGGTAATTTTTATTTTTATTTCATTTTTGGTAAACTTTTTATTTTTAACCCTATCTAGAAACAATAATGAAGACACTAATTATCACGGGCGTCTCTCATTCATTTGATTCCAAACTTGACAGGTTTAATTTCTTGGTATTCAAATCGTAATTGTATGGGATTGGGACTACTTAACCAAAGAGACACACAGATACTTATTCTTTTTTCTTTTTTTGAAAGATACTTGAGATTTTATATTTTCCACCTGTTTCATTTTCCCAAAGAATATTGTTTTTTTTTTTTTTGGGAGGTATGTACGTCTCTATTTTTAGATGTCACAATTGAAACAAACATATAACCAGCACATGGGTTTGCTTGCTTCTCCTTCTTAAATCATTCAATTTGGTATGCTTGTGTTTCTTAACTTTTTCTTTTCAAGCATGTTATTTGCATGTGAATGCATAGAGGTTGGCTATGCATATATGGATCCTAACACCAAACGCAATCGCATATATAGATATAGATATAGATATAGATATAGAGCCTCGGTTCTCTTATATATATAGACCATGTAAACCTCCATGTTAAAATTCCTTGGCTCAATTTGCATGTTAAATCTTTAATTTCCATCTGGTGGTGACACCATTTTATGGACTAATTTGTTCGACTTAATTACCCTTCAAATTGCGTTTTCAATATGTCGATATCTTCAATTTCTCTCAATGTGTATGTGACTTACAAGTTATAATTACAATTCTCTCCAAGTGATAAAAATGCAACACATTTTGTTTGGACATCCTGTCTGACGTCCATGCAGGAGTGAACAAAGATGGACAAATCCGGCACTTCTTTCACCGGCCCTCCAAGGCATACACAACCGGGACTCGAAAGCGAAGGAAGGTTCACACCGAAGAAGATGGAAGCGAGACGAGGTGGCACAAGACAGGAAAGACAAGGCCAGTCCTTGTTGGTGGAGCAGTTAAGGGTTTCAAGAAGATCCTGGTCCTCTACACCAACTACGGAAGGCAAAGGAAGCCCGAAAAGACCAATTGGGTGATGCACCAATACCACCTTGGCAACAATGAAGAAGAGAAAGATGGGGAGCTGGTGGTCTCAAAAGTCTTTTACCAAACACAGCCCAGGCAATGTGGTTCAAGCATCAAAGATGTTCCAATGTTTGATCACCACAAAGGTGTGAATATAAGAAGTGGGCATGGGCATGATCCTCTTCCTATAGCAAAGAAGGCTGGCCTTGTGGAGTATTATAATCCTGGAGGAGGTTTTATTAATTATG